GGATCTGGGGTTACAGACGGTTTTGAGTACCATTTGGTGCTAGGAACCAAACCTGGATCCTCTGCAAAAGCAGCCAGTGCTCCTGGCCACTGAGCCATCTCTCCAGCCCAGTATAACTTCAGTGGTGTCTTGGTTTGTCCCTGTTTCTTTTTAGAGCTTGTGGAATCATGCTTTTAGTTCCTGTGTGGCTCCTTTGGAGCTTTGTGCATGAAAGACCATTACTTTCAAAGTTCAGTTGCTTTCTGGTCTGCCTTTCCAATTTGGATCTTTTGTTTTGTTCCTGCCAACTGCTCTGGTTTGAACCTCCAGCTCTGTGTTGAATAAAAGTGCTAAAAACAGACATCCTCATCTTTTCCTGACCTCAGGAGAAAGTGTTTCAGCCTTCTAACCCTGAGTGTGGCATTAACTCTGAGATTTTCCTACATGACCTTGAATGTATTAAGGATGTTGCATTTTCTTTTAGGTTGTGTGTGTGTGTGTGTATGTGTGTGTATCCTAAAAATACATTTTATTTTTTCAGATGCTTTTTCTGAGCTGTATGGTCCTCTCATTCTCCCTTCTGCATGGTACACTGCACTGGTTTCTGTATGTTGAACAATCTTTGAATTTCTAGGAAGACCTTTTTGTATGTTGCTGAACTCACATGGCTGGTGTTTAGCCAAGGGTTTTGCGTCTATAAGCCTAAGGGTTATCACTTTCTTCCTAGGAATGACTTGGGCTTTTGCTACTAATATAAAAGTGGCCTCACAGAATGAGCAAGAAAGCAGAGAAGTCAGGATTTCCTGTTCTGTTATCTGAAGAGATGTGAATGATTTCTGTGAATTCTTCAGACACTTGGTAGAGTTTGCCAGTTCAGCCTTCTGGGCCTTTTTTTTTTTTTTTTTTAAATAGAAAGCTTTAGTTACTTAGTCTCACTACTCACTGTGACTCTTTTCAGAGTTCCTGTTCTCTTTCTTGAGTGAATTTCAGTCGTTTATATCTTTAGTAGTGTCCTGCAGCTGTCACCGAGAATCAGAAACCAAGTGACTGGACACAGTGGGAGTTTCTCTTAACAGTTCTGTAACCCCGGTGGGGACATGCTCTTTTATGGGCTTCTGCATGGCTTCTGGCGGCCCCAAGCATCCCTCGAGCTGTGACGGCGTTATTCTGACCTCTGACTCTGCCTTCATATGACTGACTTCTCTCAGTGTGTTTCCATGAGATCTCACATCATTTCCCCTCTGTGTGTTTGTCCCTGTGCCCCAGTGTCTCTTTTTGTGAGAATACTGCTCACCGTAACCAGGGCCCACTCAACTGGACTCATTATAGGTTGAATGAAAGCTTTTGTAAAGATCCTATTTTTTTGCTTGGAGCCAAGACTTCAACATACTTTGCCTCCCTCTGGGGGATACATGTGTGGAGGTCAGAGGAGAACTTGCACAAGTCAGCTCTCTCTCTACCTTGTGGATCTCGGAAACTGAACTTAGGTTGTTGGCTTGGCGGCTAGCATCTGTACCCACTGAGCCATCTCAACGGCTCACTCTTTGCTAACCTCCTCAGCCTTAGTGGCGTATCAACCACTTATCAACGCTTAGGAGCGTGGTTGTTTTTCACACCTTTGATGTGGATCTCTGCTCTGTTCCACGTTGTAACCCATCTCCACTGCCAGAACTATGGAGAGTTCTGTGCCCTAACAGCCTGCCTCTCCTTCTAGGTGGGGCCTCACTGTTACTCTTCTGGATATTGAGGTGCCACAGTGACTTGATTCTATCAGAGAGGCCTCTCTGGCCTAGGAGCAGACACTGACAAAGGGAACTGTAGTTCCTGGCATTCTTGGCTTTCTTCTCTCAGTGTACAGCTTCTTCCCAACCTGCAAGCTCAGTGGAGAACCAATATTATTGGCTAATCATGTTTGTGCATTGCATTTGCAGAAGTGGGGTCTGGGTGGGGAAGGTGCCTCTGTCCTTCTGGACTCCTTGCCCAAAATGGACAGAGTTCCTCCAGCATGCAGCTCAGGGAATGAGATGTATCTGTTCCTCCCAGGGGGAAAACTAGGCACAGACTGGGAGCTGGTGTTGAGGGGAGGGTCCTTCCTCCTTGAGGTTGGCTGGGGTAGAGTCTCTGGAGCTGGAGGGATCAGTTTGTGGCTTAGTGTTACGGACTCATTGCTTGAAGATGTAAACATTTTTCTGAACAGTGTTCTCCGTGTGTGTGTGTGTTTTCACACATGTGTACATGTGCATGTATGTGTTGGTATGTGTGTTTGTGTGTATGTAAGTATGTGTGAACATGCATGTGTGCATGTGCACATGTGTACGTGTGCATGTGTATACAGAGGCCCAAGGTCCTCGATCACTGATTTACTGAGGCGAGTCTGTCACTAAAGCCGGAACTCTTCAGTCCCAGCTAGTGTAGCTGGAAATCTGCTGTTCTTGCCTCTTGAGTTTTGGGATTACAGGTGGCTGCCATGCCTGCTTAGCTTTTTACGTGGGTTCTGGGGATGCTAACACTTCATGCAAGTGCCTTGCCCACCACTCTCTCTTTTCAGCCCATGTTCTCTTTTGGGTGTATGCTGCTTTCCTTGATGGCTCTTTGTACTGAGGCTGACTGTGGGGCACCCAACTTCCTTGGGCGAGGGATGATGGCAGTCTAGTGAGGGCTGTCATCATGGCACATCTTCCCAGAGAGGGCCTAGCTTTGTCTCTGCTCAGGGATGCCTGTGTGAGGTCACCTTCCACAGGGCGTAAGTTGGGGTTTCTATGGCTGGATGGAGTTCATGTGAGCTTAAACTATAAATACAGGTCATTTTGTACCTGGGGCTTCCCTTACCCTGTCCAGGGCCCAGATGGCGTCACTCCCAGCCTGCCAAAGGTGCAGTTCTTTCTGGTTCATTTCCCACAGGTCTGTCTCCTGAAGACTTTGCACTACACTTCATCCTGGCTTTGTCTGCTCATGGCGTTTCTAGGCTGGGCTGATACTTTGAGGGCAAACTCAGTCCATGGCTCGATATTCCACTCCATGTAGTCTTTGGCTTTATAATTCCTTGCTCCAAGCTGTAGGATTTGTGTGGTGGGTGTCACAGGCCCTTGGAGGCCTGTGAGGCCAGAGATAACTATTCCCTTCACTGGCTGGTATTATTATTATTATTATTATTTTAGTCTTCTGGCCACAATAAGTATTCACCAATGCCTTAGAGTTTTGGATGCCCGGGCTTATATTCTTGTTGCTCTAAGCCCTGTCAACTCACATTGACCTGGATAACCCTGTCAGGGCCCACCTGTTCCTGAAGCCCTCAGCTTTTGCATCAGGCCCCACTGTGGCCTAGAAGCAGCTTCAGCTGTCCCTTCTCCTGCCCTAGTCCAGAGCATGGGTCTTGTGACAGTGGTTACCTGCCTCCGCAGCATGTACACACCCTGGAGGTCAGATTTCCTGGTAGGCAGGCTTGCCCCATCTAAGACCCTGGCCTAAGTTTCTTCCCTTTCAGAGCGTGGATCCTTGTGTTTCCTTTTTGTTCCCTGGGTGGCAGGCCCCTGAAAATAGGGGCTAATTCCCTTTTTCTTCCCTTCTAAGTTCTCCACACAAATGCTCAGGGTCTTCGCTAGACCTCCAAGTGAGGGCGCTGGAAAGACGGCTCGGCAGTTTCGAGCACTGGCTGCTCTTGTGGAGGTTCTGTATCCAGTTCTTGCTCTCTGAACCTCCAGTTCCAGCAACTCTGATACTTGTCTGGCCTCTCTGGGCTCTGTCCACACATGGTACAGAGGCAGTGAATGCAGACAAAATGCTTAAGTGCACAAGATAAAGACAAGCCTTCCTAATGTTTGCACTTGAGGGTGAAATGCTTTGCAGTGAGAACAGACCTTTAACTTTATGTGCAGACTTGGTGGGACCAGAAGGGTCCTGTGAGACAGGAGGAAAAGGGACAGCAGCACACTAAGTATGTGGCTGTTCTGTATAAAGGAGAACACAGGGACACAGACAGGGGCCAGACCCTGGATGTGATATTTTGAGTTCTCAGATGAGCCCTCAGTAAGCAATGGACAGGCAAGTGTGAAGGTATAAGAAACCAGGGGGAAGGGCCAGGAGGCCGTGGATTGCTGTTTTGGAAGAGATGGGTCACTGATACCTGTTTCCAGGGACTGTCCTGGAGAAATGTGGCCACCCTCTATCCCACCGTCTCTCATATGTGGAGAGGGTCCAATGTAGAGCCCTGTCCTCCTGTTGTCACAGGTCCCTGGGGGCTTTGAAGTGCTCAGTGGGGATATGTGAGGGAGCGCACATTGGGTCCTGTCTGTCCTACCTGTCCGCCGAACCCTGGTGACACCTGGTGTGCTCAGCCAGGTTCTGAGGTCTAGATTTGGACAGACACAGAAGGAAGAAGGCATTCTAGGTGTGAGCATCCAGGTCCCAGGCAGCTGGGAGGCCCTTTGTGTCCTGTTCTCAGGCTTCCAGACAGCATGGGTCTCTCATGTTCCCTGTGCTGCAGAGGAAGTCACCTTTGGTTGCTGCAGGCATGTGGTATGGCCCTTTACCAGGTGAATGCCAAGGTGGACACCTGAGGGCCTCGCCCCTGCTCGCTCTGAAAATTCACTCTTGTCCTTCATCTGTCTCTTGTCCCACATCTGTCCGTTGTAAGTCAGTCACTCATCTGTCCCTTGTCCCTCAGCCTCGGGCCTCTCAGAATCCAAGCAGGTTATGACAGGGCTGGGAGGTCTGTTCCAGCTCAGATCCTTTCTCAGGACTGCAGCAGGCACCCTGAGCCACTGGATTGAGTTGGGGTCTCTCCAGGATATGCCCAGGAGCTCTGTCTGCTCCTGATGACTCTGGCTTTCTCTCCTTGTGTCCCTGCTGTGGTCAAGTGGAGTGTACTTGTTTTACCTCAGCCAGGGTTGAGGGTGAACTCTGGTTGGTGATGCCCTATCAGTGGGAGGTGCTGTGCCTACATCAGTGGGAGGGGCTGTGATTACATCAGCAAGGGGTCAGAGTTCCGTGGACATTCTCCTTCTCACTGTTGTCCTTCCTAGGTGAGTGTGCCCAAGTATGCGGCTGCAACGAGACAGGAATGCTGGAGAGGTTGCCTCGCTGTGGGAAAGCCTTCGCTGAAATGATGCAGAAGGTGGCTGTCTGGAAGTGGTGCAACCTGTCCGAGTTCATCGTGTGAGTGCCCTGCTGGTCACGGGACCCAGCCATTGCACTGCTAGCACACGCTTAGCCTTGTCTCTTGACCCCTCCCATATTTCTGCTCACGGTCCTGGGCACACTCACCCACAGCCCTCCCAAAGTCCCCACCCAGCTCTACTTCACACTGCTCTGGCTGCAGGGGATCCTGGGGTCTGTTAGGCTTAGCCATGCGGAGCTGTGAGAACAATTGTGGGCAGTGTTTCTGGGCAGTTCAGTGGAAAGGTCTTGGAAAATAGGGGTCACAGCTCATGCTTCTCAACACACATGGAAATGAGGGGGTCTTTGAGGCAAACGGTTTTTTTCTGGGGTCTATGACTCCCTGTCCCAGATGCCCTGAGAACCTGGTCGTCTCCAGGGCTGCATCAGATTTGCAGCTCAGAGTGGGCTCTGAGTCTGAACAACAATTCTGGGCCCTCTTTCTGAAGGTTACCTGTGAGGCCACAGGTATGTGGTTCAGCTTTGAGAACCAGCTTAGAGTGAGTGGGAAGTCTGGTTGAGTGACTACCAAGGCAGAGTGGACACAGAGGACTTGGGACCCCGATACTATGTCCTTCCCACCTTTCATATTAAGTCTGATGCTTCGGGCAATTCATATTGCAATGACATTTTTGTAGTTACTTGTTGGAAGTAGCTCCTTCCTGTTAATGGGCAAGTCCCTATTCTTTCCTGGAACAGCACAGGAAGGAGAAGGTGGGTCCCTGTCCTGATCTGTGGGAGTCTGGGTCAGGATCCTCTTTCTCCTGGGTTTGTCCTTCATCTGAACAGGCCTGGGGAAGTGCCATCCTAGGCAGAGCTGCTAGCTTTGGGCAGACACTCATGCTCTCAGCTTCCTCTCAGACATTCAACCTCTTAGGTGACCTCAGGTCAACAGCAGGGAGGTCACTACCTCCAGAGGATGCCCCCTGCATCCTGGACTAGGGAGCTATTTGGAAACCCTTACACACATTAGGCTGAACTCTGGATCCTGGTAGCTGTGGTCCTTGGCCAGCCTACAGAACCAACGAAAGTCTGGTAGAGTAGCTGAGGTCCTGGCAAAGTAGATGAGGCCCAGAACAAGAGGTTCTCTGGGAGCCTTTTCCACACTCACTCAAACAAGCAGTTGTCTTGCATCCTGTCAGATGGGGCAGAAGGGCAACTTTTCAGGAGCAGAGGCTGGAGCTTATAGGCCTACCTGGCTTGTGAGAACAGACTGATTTGGTTGAGAGGAAGCTAGCCTTGGCCTCAGGCAGACTCTTTTCTCAGACCTTTAGCATGTCCTGATGATGAAGGCCTTACAGGTCCTTGTGACTGTGGGCCCTAGGCTCCATGTCTTTTGGGGAAACCTGTATGGTGTGCGGAGGAAAAGGCCACAGGTACAGATGACTCAGTTGGAAGTGGCTTCTTCTTCTTCTTCTTCTTTTTTTTTTTTTTTTTGGTTTTTCGAGACAGGGTTTCTCTGTGTAGCCCTGGCTGTCCTGGAACTCACTCTGTAGACCAAGCTGGCCTCTGCCTCCCAAGTGCTGGGATTAAAGGCATGTGTCACCACTGCCTGGCAGAAGTGGCTTCTAAAGCCACAGTTTCAGTAGGTGGCCAAGTGGGACTGAGCCCAGATCATTCCTTACCTGTCAGTTGGGTCCTGGGCCAGGGCAGGTGTGAGGGGTGTTGGGAGAGCTACATTTTCTGCCTTTGCAGGTACTATGAAAGCTTCACTAACTGCACGGAGATGGAGACCACCATCGTGGGCTGCTACTGGCCCAACCCGCTGGCTCAGAGCTTCATTACTGGGATCCACAGGCAGTTCTTTTCCAACTGTACCGTGGACAGGACCCACTGGGAAGACCCTCCGGATGAAATACTTATCCCACTGATCGCAGTTCCTGTCTTGCTGACTGTGGCTATGGCTGGCCTGGTGGTGTGGCGCAGCAAGCGCACTGATCGGCTCCTGTGAGGGGCTGCCAGATGGGAGGCCATGCCTGGTAAGCTGTAAGAGTGATGCCCAGAGCTTAAAGAGCTGGCAGACACTGCTTCTGTCTGGTCTGCCTTGGCCACACCCTACCTGGTCATGCCAAGGTCCTCCTGACCAGGCTGATGTGGGTCTTGCTGTCTAGCCTGCTGCCTGGGGGTGGGATCAGGCTGCCCATAAAAGTGCTTCACTCTTTCTTGGGCTATTGGAAGGAAGTGACAAGTCTCACGTGTGTGTACCAGGTGTGGAAACCGTCTGTTGCTGAGCCCCGCTCTCCCCAGCCTGGGTTCCCTAGTCTCTAGATATTTCTTGGCAGAGTCTTGTTCAGCTGCAAGACTCATCCTTTGTTGGACATGAAGGCTAGCCTGGGGACTGGGGAATGGCATCATTAGGAGCCACATGTGACCTACAGACCTGCCTGACTTCTATGTGATCTGTCATGACTCTGTGTCTAGTGTGGGCTGGAGCTGTGGCTTGTTTAGCCTTTCAAAGACACTTGCCCTGCAGATAGAGCGTGACCCTCCTTCTTGAGGGGTATTCCTAGGAGCAAGGCATGCTCTGAGTGTGTTCTGTCTGCTGATGTCTGTTCTTTTGATTAAAGTGTCTCCTTACACATGGTATTTCTTGTTTTATTTCAGGGTATTCTGGGTTAGTTGGTGGGTCTGTCAGGTATTCAGAGTAATGTCACAGGGACTTAGCCCAACAGGAGAGGGTCCTGATGTTCTGCTCCAGTGCCCTCTCTCCTTTTTCTGGTTTTGCCAGAGGCCCTTCCTGTGGATTTTGGGAAAGAGAGACCCTGGTCAGACGTGGCCAGCCAGATGCTGGTCAGTAGGTGGTGCTGTACCATTTCAAGTTTCATCTGTGTTCCAGCTGGAGGACTTGCATCATTGGGTATAGGCTGCTGACCTCTGTGGTGCTGCTTTCTGCTGGGGAGCTGTCCTGACTGCCCAGAGAAGGCAGAGCAAAGGCCAGGATGGAGAGTTTATAGTCCATGTTTCCCTTTGGGATGTCAGATGATGCTACAGGCTGGACCTGAAGGGGAACATTGGGGTCTGGAATGAATGCTGTGGTTCCTGGTCTCCTCTCTGGGTACCCAGGCACTGCCAGTGTACTGCCTGGAGAGGAAGTCAGGAATGGGGTTCCACAGTCTATGTTTCCCCTCCGGCTCTGGGAGGCAGGAAGGGAGAAGTGGGAGCCTGAGATGAACTAGGTCTGATCCAACTGGGAGCAAGTGCCCAGTACTGGAGGAGCAGAAGAAGAGAATGCCTTCTTAGGGAGTCTTAGGTGTGGGTCTTTTAGAAGAAGGCCTTCCCTGTGGTGATCTTTAATGAAGCAGCTTTCTTAGGTTATCCTTGCTTGTTTATATTACTTTATTGGGGGACATGTGTGTACACACTTTATTCTAGGTGAACCAGAGATTATGTACCTCTTGGGGGAAGAGTGTGAGAATATCCAGGAAGGGAGTGTCATTGGGTGAAAGCGAAGGCTATCTAGATACCTCATTAGCATAGAGAAGAACTCCAGGTGCCATAGCCCCTGACTACATGACCAAGTGTCCTTGGTCCTCTTGATTGGGTGTCATGGTTACATGTTGCAGAGCAGGTACAGAGACAGGTAGGAAATGACTTCACTCCTGCCTTTCTCAAATCTCAAATCTGCTGGGGTTTGAGCTTACTCAACTTTACCAGTTCTTGTATCTATTTGATAGCACAATCCCGCATGCCCAACAGACCTCTGTGTCCTCTGGCTAGGTTGAGGCTGGGAAGACCCAAAGTTCCTGTGCCGTGGGAGACCCTTCTCCCTACCATACTCAGATCTTGGTCCTAGAGACCTCCTGGTGGATACCATGGCATTGCAGGTCTGGGTGACATGAGCCTATGGCATGAGGACAGCAAGGGACAAGATCTGGGACCTTTCTATGGTTTTGAAGAAGGCCAGGGATGGAAGACTGCCAGGTGAATGTGAGTCAGCTTTGTGACTTTTGGCATGCCCCCTGCCACACAAGCAGCACTCCAGAGATAAGATGCTATCTACTAAATGAGATAACCTTGTGGGTCCTGAACTAGTGAGATGTCTGCAGGTGCCAGACCATCTGGTCCATACATAGGGGGTACACAGAATATTAGATATTGTCTTGGGATTTCTGTTGGTGTGAAGAGACACCACGATCACGGCAACTCTTATAAAAGAAAACATCTAATTGGGAATGACAGTTTCAGAGGTTTAGTCCATTATCATCATGGTGGGAAGCATGGTGGGATGCAGGCAGACATGGTGCTGGAGAAGGAGAGGGGAGTTCTACGTCTTGATCCGCAGGTAGCAGAAGGGACTGAAAGCCACACTGGGCATAGCTTGAACATATGAGAGCTCAAAGCCCACCCCCAAGGCTACACATTTCCTTCAAAAAGGCCATACCTCCTAATAGTACCACTCCCTAATGGGACAACACATGAGTCTATGGAGGAGATTCCTTTTCAGACTACCACCAATGTGGCAGCCTGTTCTCACATGATGTTCTGGTGGGGGCTCCACTGTTGTCTGCCTTGTTCCCCCTATTTGAGCACTACTGAGGCATATTTTGAAATGTACTGAAGAAACCTCATGGCTCTCCTCTGGGGAAGACACCTTCAGCCATCTCCTGATTGCCTCCCAGCCAGATGTGAGCCTGGAGCTGCTTTCTCTGGCTTCTCGGTACCTTTTGGGCATTATCACACAATCTCTCATCCCCTTTTCTCTCTATGGGAGTTCCTGAGAAGGAACATGAGAGGAGGAATAAATAGAGTTTAAGTGCTGGGGCTTGGTGGCACACGTCTTTAATCCCAGCATAAAGAGACATTCAGATCTTTGTAAATTTGAGGGCTGTCTGGTCTACATAGCAAGTTCCAGACCAGCCAGAGCTATAGAGCAAGGCCCTGTCTCAAAAGAACAGCAGCTGCGTTGTGGCTGTGGCTGTACTGTGGCTGTGACTGTTCATCAGACAGGGAAAATGTGTCTGATTCCCATGGTACCAAGCATCCTGTGTCACGCTGACCCACCCCCCAGAGGCTCCTAGGGAGGCTGGGACTGGGACTCTTCAATATTTCTTTTTTCAGTAGGTGGCCAAGGAATCTGGTGATGCTGGCACTCAACCATTCCTGCCATCCTCTCAGGTGGCTTCCTTCTGCCTGGCTTTGAATCTGAGAACTGTCACTCAAACTGTGCTCACTGGCAAAGCAGCCACTTGAGCTTAGGGGCTGTGGGTGTCAGGAAAACGGTGAGGAGCTACTAGCCTAGCCATGGCAACCATGGTCATGTTTTCTACAATTAGACTTTCCAGTTTTGCTTTTCTCTGCCTTGGCAGTGATGAGGCATGGAATGCAGGCATTTTCTTCTTAATACTGAGGGGGTCATGTACCTTGCATTTACTGTTGCAGGTCCTACATTGCCCAGCTATTTGGCTTTTCCAGTGAGTGAACCACATCCACAATCTGAGATGCAGAACCCAGGATCCAGGATGATCTGTCTCCCTTTTCCTTCTACCCTGTTTCTCTTTTTCTTTGCATAACCCTCCTCTCTCCCTCTTTTTTTCTTTTGCAATTCTAGGGCTTGAACCTAACTCCTCATGTGTGCTAGGCAAGTGGTCTACCACGGCACCCACCGTTATTACTACTGAAGTCTATCAAACCCAAGCTGAGCCAGGCCACACCAAGGAGAAATACTGATTTGTGGCTATGCATGCACGCTTCTTGCATCCAGAGCTGTGTTGGATTGATTGATCTCTGCACCCACATCCACACCTATCCCCTCCCAACCTTCTATTTCACTCAGCAACCTTTCCATAGGTTTGCCTCAAATCAGACATCAGTGAACATGGAATGCATCCAACCAGGAGGAAAGCTGTCTCTGTACCTTAGCATCCATCTGGCGTATGTCTCTGCTCTAAATACTTATTTTGCAGGCTGTGAAAGGGCCCCTGTTGCTTGGCTGTGCTAACTGCTGGTCAGGAGCAATGGAGGCAAGACACAAGGGCTCTCTGCTTGCAGTCAGTGTGGATGCTGTGCTGTCAACATGGCATGTTCATGGAAGTCTCTTTGATGTGGGGACCTGCTTTGCTGTAAAACTATCTTAGCTTCATAATTGGAGGACTGCATTCTCTGTCAAGGAATTAACAACTCAATACCTATTAGATACAAGCAACCAGATGCCTTGGAAGTAGGCTTGTTTTCAGTTATCCAGCCTTAAGTAAACAGCACATGGGACAGTAGGGAGATGGGTGCCCTGTCATTGTCCTTGCTACCAAGACATCCTTCTCAGAGCCTTAGAGATGATGCGGGTGACAGATGAGGCTGTTCCCTGGAGAGGCAGAGAAGGGGTCCTGCGGAGGAGGGTTAGGTCCACTCTGTGTCATTCACCACAGAAGCAGTTGTACTTCAGCTGACCTTCAGTGGAGGATGGGAATAGGAACAGAGGAACAGCTGCAAAATGTCACAGCCTCAGAGGAGCTCTGGGGCTGGAAATTCTGAGATGTAAGGGAAGTCAGCAGATCATAATCATTATGGATAGTTTGAGCAGATCTAATTCAGAGACCGAGAGACTAACTTAAACATACTCAAAGAAGAAAGGGTGCGCAGGCTTTTAGTAACAGTTAATAAGGTTGGTTTTATATGCATTTTATCATCTATCTATCTATCTATCTATCTATCCATCCATTCATCTATTCATCTTCCAGCTTTCCATCAAAGTAAAAAAATACATGAGCTAATCACTTTATAAAGGAAAGAAAGGTTTAGTTAGTTCATGTTTTTGGATCACGGTTATTTGTCACAGTTGCAGCCTAGGACAGTGTGACAGAGGTCCTGGCAACAGGACAGTGAAGAGGAAGGAGCCGGGTTCTGACAGCCTCTTTGAGAGCTATGCCCCAGTGACCTAACTTTCTTTATTGGACATTATCTCCTCAAGGTTCCACTGTCTTCCACTAGTGCTACAGCTGAGAAAGAAGCTTTGGATACATGGGCGTGTGGGGGAAATCCCAGCCTCATTCCTTTCTTCCTTTCTCATGAATATCCTCATTTTTAATATTCATGTGAAATGGATAACAGTGGAAGCCATGTCAGCTATGCTTTTGCACTGAAAAAAAATTAAAAGAAAAAATAACCGGTATAGTTTTGGATAAGAGAGGTGGTAAGGATGGAAGCCATAAACTATGCCTTTATAACAATGAAAAGTAGAGTGGGCACAGGGAGATGGGGAAGGAGGGTGGATCAACAAGTCAGAATATGTAGGAAAAGCCATGAGGAAACCTAATTTATCCCAAGTAAAGAAAGGATAACATCAAGAGAACCATTATACATCAAAATCCACTGAGATACACACACACACACACACACACACACACACACACACACACACAGAGAGAGAGAGAGAGAGAGAGAGAGAGAGAGAGAGAGAGAGAGAGA